GATTTCTTAAAGGTTTTAAGTCCAAAAGATAAAGTCTGAATGATGTGTGCTGTTAAGGCAACAGTCTGGTGCGTTTTTGCCTCCATCACTCTGCTTAGATCCCAATGTTGTCCTACTTTTAAACTGAAAACACTCTTATATGTTATTTTATGTCATGAGAATTTTTAGAAACTTGTAATATACTGTAAGGTTATGTGGTATTTTGTGATTGTCATGTTTCTCTCTCTTGCCCAAAGCTATTCTAACCTCTGTGTCCTTAAGACTCACTGCATGCAGGCAGCTGAGCAGTTTAACAAGGCTTATACTGAGGAGACATTAGGATTTGTAACTGGTGGAAGGCTGATAGTTTAAACAGGGTCTGTTAGTGATGCCCACAGAAGCAACAAGAAGACTTACAGCCTGCTAATAACAGCTTGGTGAGACTGATCTTGAAAGTGGGAACTGCTCTGAATATTCAAGTAGGAAAGTTAGCTAGCCAAGACTGGAGGATGCAAAATTGTCACTATGGTGTCGGCGTTACAGAGGGACCCACACCAGCAGGAAGTGGGTGAATGCATGACAGTCAGACAGGAAGTCGTATTTAGCTCCACTCCACGGCTGAGTCACAGCTTTAGCCTCTCTGCTGGAAAGCTGGAGATGCTCCGACTCAAACACTCGTGCTTATTCATGCACAGAGGGGAACGCAGATTGAGTGGCAGTCAGTGAATGAGCTAAATAGGGAGACTGTTGCAAAAATAAACAGAGGATGAATAACTGAAGGGAATAGGCTCTTGGAAAGATGGAGAGATAAAAGGACAGGTGGAAAAACGGGCAGGTTAGTCAATGAGTAAAGCAGAAGAGCGGAAGGAGTCAGGACTTTTTCTTAAATCATGAATCCAGGTTTGCTGTTGTTAGGGGAAAAAAGATTTAGAGTGTCCAAAGATTTAGAAGCAGGAAGTGTCAGGAAGTTTTGATGATTAGAGTTATTAGTTTGATGATTTGCCGAGCAAAAGGTTTCCAAATGTTAAGATGGTGATAAAAGCATGTTTATTTCAGCCATCTAAGTAACAGCAGGAATCATTGTTACACATCCAAATACAGTTGTGCCATTAAAGAGAGTTCAAGTGTCCCTTTTAAAAATTATTTTAATGGGACAGCCAATGACTGTTGATCAGCGCTTTGGAAAAGGTTGGATTTAAATTTCTGGGTTCAAGTTTTGAGCGTAGCTGGTCATGGGACACAGCTGAAAGCTCCAGACAAAGTTTCTCACTAAACCTCGAGTTTTAGAGCATTTTAATGCTGGTTTAGCATTCACAAAAGTCACACTAGCTCACATTAGCAGTTGCAAAAGTTAGAGATACCTGCTGTAAAGTTTCTTCTAAGCAACTGCAGCAGCAGTTTGTTACTGTTTTCTTTATTTTTAAATAGTTTTTAAGCAGTGTCAAGATGTTTATGGCCACATAATTTAAAACACTGTGTGCTGTATACCGTTAGGGCAATTAAGCAGGAACAGTGGGCTACACATGCTTGTAAAAAATGATTACAAAACTTTCTACCTGCTAATGGAACAAAGGAATCAGCGGTCAATTTTGAACTTATCCTGGAGAAACCAGGTTTCCCTAATACTATACCTAGTTATGGAAACCATGTTTCTTATAAAGGAAAGTCAATAAATCAGCTCACTGGAAAAAAAAAAAACATTGTCACATGGAGCATGTCTTATAGTTCAGAAGCTGCAGGATTGGTTTATGCAAGTGTCACGTATCAGGGATCTCATTGAACAATATGTAAGAAGATGTGTTTATTTATAAAAAAAAAAAAAAGTAATTAAGAAAAAAAAACTCATTCAACCGACCTCACACACATTCATACCAAAAAAAGTTACGCTCAGGCATCTTATCTGACATTCACGGGCACTCGTGGACTGACAGACACATCGGAGGCAACTTAGGGTTCGGTATCTTGCCCAATGATGCTTCAACATGCAGGAGCAGGGGATCAAACCAGGGCTCGACCCACCCATCTTCCAGCTGAAAGAAACCGCTCTACCACAGTTGCTATATGAGATGACTTTGCTCAACCTACTGACAAATCTCATTCAGTATTGAATTTGCTGTGCATCTGCAAGCTGCTTTGCAACCACAGACAGTAAAACACATGGGCACAGCTTCTGGGTCAGAAAAATGAAGCCAGTGAGGAAGCACATTAATCCTGCATTCTATCTCCAGGCCACAAGATGGTGATAGATGTGGTTCTGATTCGACCTTGTTGGACATTTTTCTGCTGGATGCATGAGCTCAGTCACTCATTTTGGATCACACGGAAATAAAATAAACAAGTCTGTTTAGTAAATCTTGGTCATAAAGTGTTTCAAAATGTAGGATTAGCTGCGATATGAAACCGCATGCTCATTGGCCAAAGATCTGTCAATCAGAGGTTATTAGCCAGTTCGCTGTTAGACCCTACCCTTGTTGTCACATCGGTGTTTTTGCAACCAAGATGATTCTGGCAGAGACGCTCATCTTGAGGCTTCACAAACCAGTAGCACTATTCATGCTGGGATTTTAATCAGCTCTGTTGTCACTGATGTCTAAAACAGAGCCATGCCATCAAGTCTTAATCATGTTAGGTTCGTCGCATTTCCTTTGTTGTTCTGCGCCTTTGAGCTTTGCATAATTCATCTTTATCTGTTGATTTTTTTGTAAATGTTTAGTTTGGGCATCAAATATCTGCCATTAGTTTTCTGTTTGTTCTCTCAAACAGATCAAAGGTTTGTAATTCTGTGTTGTTAAGTGCCTGGAGGCATAATTCGTACAGGCTGCTGCAAGAGGGACACAGCTGGGGGAAGAAAAATGGAAGGAGGGTGAGCTGGACTCATCTGACTTCCAAATGTGAAGGAGATCTGTGTTTTGAGTGCTTGGTGACAGCTGTCAGTGTCAGCAGTACGGCCATGTTCCTTAAGTTTGCTTTGGCACAGGGTGGGTAATAGTGGGCTGATTTGGCTCCAGTTTGTTTATTTGCTTTCTTGACTTATTGGTTTTTAGTACCGCAGTCCTCTTAAAAGAGCTTCATCAAGTGGCACAATTTCATTGTTGGACATAAATTTTAGCAGCAGGCTGAGCCCGATATGACTGTTGCTCTAAAACGAGGCTGATAGCTTAATGGGATGGGTGAGAAACGGCGCTGTATGTCATTAAGGTAACCAGCTAGGTGCCTGCTGCCACCAGTGACTCACTGGATTCATGTTCTCACACAAAACACATTAGGGAGACGGGAAGTGCGCTAGAACAGAGCAGCAGGTTTCTCCGTCGTGTCTGCCGTGAGCCCGTCTGGATTAAAATGTAATGCATGTGCAGGAGTCATTATGGTGATGATGAAACTGAAAGCTGCAAAGTCTTCTCCACTTGTTCAGCTGAGATGAACTCATCGAGTGTTGCTTATGCCACTTCTCAAACACCTGCTGAGTCAGAGGCAACTTTAAACAGTGGACACTTGAAGTATCAGCAATTGTGCGACAGGAAATAAAGAAGAGTGGAAACAACTACCAACTTCAGGCAACTCTGTGACATTAATTGTATCCTATTTTAGAGTAAACGTTAATATTAAAAGGGCAAATCAACAGAGTTCTTAATGCATCTTTAATTAGACACTATTTATGTAAACAGTCTTGATTTGAAATCTCTTTATAGTGAAAAATATTCAGGCGGTATCAACCAAAAAGCATTGTTGGGAGAATTGGACTTCCACTTGACTTTGTTTTACTCGCAAATTTGCCTAAACTGCTACCTGAGTTTTGAATTCTTTTCTTAGTCCTATCACCTGAAGTGTTGTCAATGCCTCTAGCAATTGTATGAGAGTTTTGTAAGCTGAGAGAATTAGACAGTTAGATAATATAGAAATTTAGAAAAAGAAATGTAGAAATACATTTTTCTAGTACTGGGTGTACTCCCTTTTTTTCTTTAGAGCTGCCTTAATTCATTGTGGCAAAGATTCAACAAGGTGCTGGAAGCATTGCTCACAGATTTGGGTCCACGTTCACATGACGGCATCACGCAGCTGCTGCAGATTTGTCGACCGCACATGATTTGAGCTTTGAGATGCAGTGTGTTATCCTGCTGCAGCCATCAGAAGATGCCCAAAACCTACCATCCAAATGTTGCAGCAGAGATCATGACTCATCAAACCAGGCAGCATTTTTCCAGTCTTCTACTGTCCAGTTTTGGGGAGCCTGTGTGTCCTCTTCTTACCTGTCACCCAGTCTGGTCTTCTCCTGCTGTAGCCCATCTCCTTCGAACTTTGATGTGTTACAAATTCAGAGATGCTCTTCTCCGTATCTTGGCTGTAACGATCGGTTATTTGAGTTCCTGTCTGTTCAAAGCAGTCTTTTCTCCTCTGACCTCTGGGTATCAACAAAGCATTTTCCCCCAGAGGACTGCTGCTCAGTGGATATTTGCTTATTTGCACACCATCCTCTGTAAACCCTAGAGATGGTCATTGGAAAAATCTCCGCAGATCAAGATTTCTGAAATGGATCAACCCATCTGGCACCAACAACATGGAAAATCACTTAAATCATCTTTCTTCCCCTTCCTAATGCTCACTTTGAACTTCAGCAGGTCATCTTCACCAGGGAAGTAGCCACTAGAGAAACGGCAGTTCCCACATTTTCTTCCTTTTTCACCTCCAAAAGTTGCCTCCTGATGCAAATACAGAGTTATGGTTGATACTGTGTCTCACTAAAGTGACCTGAGTGAATGTTTAATAGAAGCAGTAAATCGTGTTTGTGTTAACGATCTCCGAGAGTTGTGAGAGGAAAGCACTGCAGCCTTTTAAGAGAGACTTGAAATCATATCAAATGATCTGCCTTCACATCGCTGTCTCTCAAGAGCCATAATCTAATACTTTATTGCCATGTCAACAACATGATTGGATTTATTGTTTTATTTAATTTAATGCGTGTCAGGTAAAATTAGTCTTCCCACCCTCCTGCTGACCTTCTTGCTGCTGTCTTCCTCTTGCAGGTGAAGGGAGAGGATTGAAATTCCACGGTGTTGATCTTCTCCAGCACTCTCCGTCCCCTTCCCCCTCTCCCGGGGACCCTTTCCCCCACCAGCCCCACTCCCTGGAGCCTGTTACTGACACACCGCACCAGAATCTCCCACTGAGGAAGACACACTCTGACCTCGACACAACCTTACCTGCAGGTGTGTGTGTGAGACCATAATAGGGAGCTCTTTACCCTCCCTCCATGGTGCAGATCTTATTACTCCTCACATAAAGTGTGCCGCAACCTTCAAAGACAAGAGAAAGAGAGAGAAAAAAAAGAATCTGGGAATGTCAGAATGAAATTCCTATACTCATGAACTTCTCGTATTTCAGATAAAACTCTAGTATTGCTGTTAGTAGCACTGAACAGTTCTTGGCTGTGGAAAGACTATCATTTTTTTCCCGCCCACTTTAAATATTCTTTAAATAAAAGAAATGTATGCAATAGCAGGACATTTTCTTTTGTTTGAATTATGTTTTTTGTTCAACAAACATGACAAATGTGTGTTTATTTTGTCATTGATTATGGATTTACATACTGTTTTAAAAGAAAAATGTTCTCCTTTCTTGTTAAGGCATAGTCACGCAGGCCTAGAGACAGGCTGGTCCTTGACAAACTCAGCAAAAGCAAAAACCTGGACTGCCCGACTGGTTAGTGAGTGGTTGCTGGGTTTTTTGAGGTGAAACTGGCTGTAAAAACCTACTTGTGATTGCTTCGGTTGCTAGCAGTTGCTACTGTTGCCCATAGTTTACATGGAAGACACAAACTTGTTTGCAGATATTAATCCTTTAAAACTGGTCAGAGTGGGCACGCTCCATTTTGCGTAACTATTTTTAAATCCCTGTAGAACCAAAACCCTGTAAGCTGGCACAATAATTTGTTTTGCATATGAAACCGGAGGAGTTGTACTTACGTCACGGTTTCCTTCCACATATAGCTTTGCAAAAATTGCATAAAAAGCACTTGTAGCAACAAAAACATAATATTCCAGAAACAGGCTTTGCCGATCCGATCAGCTGTTCAAAACACTTCCTATGTTGGAATAGACATCAGCGGGAACTAATGCATGCTCCCCATTACTTGCCCAAAACTGGAAGTGATGTCATTTTTGCGGAAAATGTAGTTTTTTACCTTCGGGGCCTTATAAGCCTATACTGGTATTTTTAAGAGTCATGTTGACTTTATGCTTTTCTGAATAGTTTCTGGGATGCTTAAAACTCATATTGCACTGCTGGAAATAGTTTATTTTGATGCACATGCTGTTTTCTTTGCAAATTTGCATTATAATATTTATTTTCGTTTTTCCTGTAGTATATAAAAATTGGTGTATCTCAAAAATAAAATTATGAAGACACTCAAAATAAATTTCCTGTTGTTGGAAACTTTTTTGTGCAACTTTTTTGTATTTACAGTTTTGAGGGATAAACCTCTTAAAATTCTCTAAATAGAAATGTAAAAAAAACAAAAATGATTTTCAATTTTTTTGTAGTTTATTGCACTTTTTTGCAATTTATGTAGTTACTATGGACTTAATGCATACATATTATTAAAATTTGGGCTATAACAGTTGTATTGATGTATAGCAACTTGAAACGCTCCCAAAAATGGCACTACAACATGTAAAAATATAAAGATAAGCTCTGGCAGACTTGGTTCTATGGTAGGTCTTAAAGGGTCAATGATTTGCTCCCTGAGCTGTAGTGAAAGTTGAAAATTGTGATGTAAAAGGTGAATGGAGAAGGTTCTTCTATGAAGCTGGACAGTCTTCATTTCAGTTTCACTTCAGCTTGCAGAACTAAGTGAAACCGCCTCCACCAGCTAGCAACCAAAGCAATCAGAAAGAGTTTTTTTGCAAGTCAGTTGGCAGAATACACATTTTTCCGTAGTAACGGGTGGTTGCCATGGGGTGACTAACCAGTCTTTTAGCCTGTGTGAGTGGGGCCTTTTTCATTCATTCCCACAATGTCACCAAGATTGTGACATCCAAAATGGAAGTTAACATGTTAACAAGTTAACATCACATTGTTAGTTGTCACACATCTGCAAAACTGCAATACCTCTTTGTGACCAGTTTCCCCTAGTGACAGCTAGCACTCCCCAGCAACCGCTTGCCAACCAGTCGGAGAAAGACCCTTTTTCAAATGATTACCATGGGATTTTGATGGTTGTTACTAGCCTACAGCACCAACACAGAGTAACGCTAGCTACCACATTAAAAACAATCTACCATAAACACAATATTTAAACTCAAAAGAGAGCTAAGCGTTATTTAGCATTAGCTTGCTTGTTTGATTGTTAACACTAATAGCAAAAGTAGACTATTAGTTAAGCTTGTTTGCCTAATACTTCACCAGCTAATTTTATTGGGCTATCTGGTATAATGTTGCGGATTTTAGGCTATAATAAATAATGTACTGTAAATCCCGGACTACAGAGCGCACCTGATTAAAAGCCGCATGCTGTAATTTTAGAAAGAAAATCAATTTTGTACTTGTACAGGCCGCACCGGATTTTAAGCCATATGCGTTTCACTTGTAATATGAGATATTTACACAGAAATATAACACGTGAGGATTTTTAATGTTTAATTTATTCCGTAGTGTAACATAACCATGGTAACATAAACGTTATGGTAACATACAAAAATACATACTGCAAATGCTTTTTTTTCTTCGAACAGCACCTGTAACACGGCTACCTTTAAGTATACGTACGTATCGGTAACACACAAATTACGTTGCTTATGGTTTTTTTACGGAACGGTGCACAAACAACATTGCAACGTTTCTTAACAACACGTAAAAATATATACCGTATATTTACTACTTATCTATTTTATTGGTCTACTGTTACCAGGCAAATTGTTTTTGGCCGCATAAAAAAATATATGCATTAGCCGCACGTCATTATAGGCCGCAGTGTTCACAGTGTGGGAAAAAAGGGCGGCTTATGACCCGAAAACTACGGTAATGCCCCAAAGCAAAGGTGAATGACTAATGACTGCTTTCTGCAGTACGGCCAATATACAAAGGTAGTCAGCTATCTATCCACCAAAGGTTTAATTAAGCAAAAAAAATTACACAAACTAATGCTGAATTAATAATTTATTTCCCCTGGATTTGCACTAATCAATGTTTCCTAGTGAAGAACAGCTATGCCTTTAGCCAGGATCTTTTCATTCCTTGCTGGTTTATTTACTTCAGTGAGGACATTTAAACACAGGGCATCAAGGGTTCATTTAATCAGCTTCATCTGAATAAGCCCATAATTTTGGTGAGACGAAGACAAAAGCAGAAGAAGCCACATCTGACATTTAAAAATGTGTTTCAGTTGTTCTTGAATTAAGAACTAATCCTTTGTTGCAGGACGAATATGCATTGTTGAGAATGTACTATTAGGCCTATGTAACAAATTAAAGGGAAAAAAACTGACCCCTCAATCCTTACAGTGGGTGAATGTGGTGGGTTTGTTGCTGTGAAGGGGCATTTGGTTGGCATGATATGGTAACCTGTCACACCAGATAACTTGTTACAGAACCATCTGTGAAGCCATACTTGCAAAATGGCACGCGTTTGAAAGAACCATCTGTCTATTAACTTCAGCCAGTCAGTTGAAAAATCAAACTCTTGCCAAATCCAGTCAAGTGAAGATGAAAAACACCTTTGCACATCAGACAGTGAAGAAATGCTCTCAACTTTTCAGTTCTATAAGTTATGATTTAGCATTTCATCTCGAGGAACAACTAAAACATGTCCATAGATGCTTATTTGTTCTGTGGTTATACCACAGCACATAGCTTAAAGCGTGGAATATTGGATTCTGACCAAGTTCTGGTGTGATTCTATCTCACTTGTAAAAAAGAATGTTTTTGATCCGCTTTTCCTCCTTAGAAGGAAAGGTCAGAGAAGTTTATATATGTTTTTCTTGTTAATATGTTGCCTTGTATGTATCTTTTAAGCATGGAGGTTTGTTAGGCAGGAAAGTATGTCTGTGAAGGTGCTTGGTCATCTCGGTCATTGTAGTGTAAGGAGCATGAAAAAGAAAACAGTCTGAAAGAAAGAAGTTCTAAGAAAGAACTTCTTTCAAAGAAAGTCTGAAACTTCTTTCATTCAAAGAAGAAAACTGGTGGAGAATCCCAGATTTTAAGCCCTATGGGAGTGTCTCCAAGAGGGTCATGGACTCCCTATTGATCCTCTACCTAATCACACGAGCCCGTGTGAAAACAGGTGTGGGTCACAATCAGCCAAGGTTTCGGGTAAACCCATTGCAAAACCTAGCCCCACTCTATCACGTGATATCCTGAGGTCAAATGGCCCAAGTGTCTGGGAGCGGATCTCAAAACTGGATTATAGATGGCAGACAGTTGGTGTTGTAAGTCATCCCTTCTGTTCAAAGATGGTAGTTCACAGTGGACAGATGGCTTCTTTCACTCCTGTTTCAAACCATCTGTCTTCTGTGTCCAAAATGTTAACATTAGCATCCTCGAAAGAGTGACCTTTGTCCTTTAGATGTAGATGGACACCTAAGTCTTGTCCCGTCGAGGTGGCTATTCTCGTCAGGCAGTAAACAAATGATACACACTGTGTATGGACTAATGCCAGAGGCTACAGATGTCAAGGCAGGTTGTGCCTTTTCTGGTCAGAATAGTTTTCTGAATGGGTAGAGCTAGAGATAGATATGTGATGTTTAGAAGTTTTTATTATAACCTTTTATTTTAGAGTGTCCACAGTCAGTGGAATTTGGTGTGATTAGTTTTGGTGTATTGATTCTTTCCCTCTCTTCTCTACAGACAACCGTTTGGGGCTGCCTGCCCCAGATCACCTTCACCCAGAAACTATGGACCATTCTGGGCTGCTCTGCTCAAATACACCCACCGCTTCCTGGAACGGACCCAAGGGTTCCACCTTTTCTCCTGGAGCGTGGAACGAGCCTTACAATTACAGTAAGAACAAAGGACCAGCGGTACCACCCAAACAGCACAGTATCATCGGAGGAGGGACCCAGGAGGGGGTGATGCTGGTGAGCTCAGGACATTCAAGCTCATTCAAGACTGTGACAGACCCTTCTCGGAGACCATTGAATAACATGGACATAGGGAAGCGGAGTGAGACAGAGGGGGCTGCAGTTGATGGAGGAAGGGGGGGAGGAGGGGAAGCAGTGAGAGGACGGGAGAGGTCGGCACGTTCCATAGCAGCACAGAATGCTTTCAAGTTTCGAGAGCGTTCCCTTTCCACACCCACAGATTCTGGATCTTTTTGTTTCACAGAGGGTGTTATAGGCCATCCGGATGGTAATATAACATCTACAGGAAATGGGAATACTATGGACCACCAACAAGAGCATCACAACTTCCTCGGCTTAGGTGAGAATTACGCCCTTCTCTACCCTAGAGGGAGCTCAGAAGACAGCGCAAGTACAACTGACACAATCTCCGTCACAGCTTCAGACTACAGCACAGAAGGCCGTTTGCGCCTACGTTCCCGCTCCATCTCCCTTAAAAAATCCAAACGAAAGCCACCACCCCCTGTGAGGAGTGTCTCTCTTATGAAAAACCTTGGACAAGCTGAGGGCAGAATACACCATCAAGGTGGTCTTTACAGAGATGGCCGACCAAAGAGCCTGCACATTCCCAGGGATCACTTCCCTGACTTTCAGCCAGATTTCCTTCTGCCCAACTCGTCTAAAACCAGTATTGGTGAGCGAGAGCCAGGCCAAGGAGGGAATGACAGACCTCCAAGTCTAGAGGTCCAGGCACCAGAGAGGGAGGGGGAGACGGAAATTACTTTTCCCACGCACTGGCAGCTAGGGGAGTGGAAGAGCAATGATCCATACAGGTAGGAAACTACACATGGATGTTTAGTACTTGTGCTACAAAGTTATTATTATTGTGTCATCTTTATTATGTCTTCTCACATCATTTCATAGGTATCCTGGATGTTTTGTTGTCAAAAGTGTTTGGCAAACTTTGATTTAGCAAAAAAACTTCACATCTCTTCTGTGCTCTTCCTCAGGTCTCTGTCAGGCTCCAGCACAGCAACAGGTACTACAGTGATCGAATGTATGAAAGTCAGAGGTAGCTCAGAGTCCCTTCTTGACTCTCCCTCCACCTCGAGAGCCACATCACCCTCACAGCTTTCCATGGAGACTGACATCAAGGCATCATCCCCCTTCAAACCTCCAGGACTTATGTCCCCATCAAGTGGCTATTCCAGCCAGTCAGAGACTCCCACCCCAACTGTTCCACTCAGTCATCTGGCAGGTCAGGGGACTGTGGGTACAACAGGTACAATAGGTTGTAAGATGCGCCCCAAAATCCCAGAGAGGAAATCATCTCTACCATCACCCAAGGATCCAGCTGCTAGGTCTAGACTGTCCTTTGAAATGCCTGGGAATGCACATCTGGAGCTTTCGTCCATCAAGCCAAAACAAAAGGCCAGCCGGCGGCATTCTGACACTTCGACAGCAGCAAAGCCAGGAAAGATCAGCCCGAGTTCCTCACAGGCACTGCCTATGGTTACCCAGAACGAGCTAAAGACTGTTCGGCTTCGTTCAGTTTCTCGTGGAGACCTAGAAGACTGCCCTGATGGAGCCTCTGACACCATCGAAGAGGAACAGCATGGCCGCGATATAGGCGAGGATCCCAGCCCACCACCCACTCTACCAAAACCTAAACCACCTGTAGCAGTCAAGCCTCCCTTACCTAAACGGCCCATGAACCTTCTTCTCAAGTCTCCTTCTCCTTCCTCCACTTCCCCTCTGGCGCTTGACTCGCCTCCTGCCTCACCTGTAGACCGACCTGTGCCTCTAGGCAACATCTACAAAGTCATGAAAAAGCCAAAACCCAAAAAACCTCCACCACAAGCTCCAACAAATCCCACTATTCTGTCAGATTCAAACTCTATGGCTGCTCCACAAACTGCCTATGATCAATCGTTCCTCCCCCTATCCCAGTCCCTGTTTGATCTCCCTCCTCTCCCAGACCCTCAGCCTCTCCTGGAAGACCCAGTTTTGGAGCCTGAATTTGATGTTGACCAAGAGATTCGTCTTGGCCCCGAAGATGGAGGCTCACTCCCTTCACCTTGCAGCAATCAGGAGGCCCCAGAACTTCAGGACAAGAGCAAGACGCTACCCTCAAGGATGACAGTCTCCTGTCTGGCAGAGCTGTCAGACAAAAAGAAACCCAAGGTAACCAAATTAAATATATTGTTCTTTTACACAAGTCATGGTTAAACATCGAGTATCTTCTAAAGGCAAACAATTTAAAAAAAACATATTCACAGTTCACAACTCTCCTTATTTCTCATTCTTTGAAACCTTCTCAATCCTTTCCAGGTTCCACCTCCAGTCCCCAAGAAGCCAAATGTTCTGCTTCTTCCCACCTCAGTCCACTCCTCCACTAATGGCAGCACAGACCGTCAGACGCCACAGACTGACAGCCCCGTGGGCCTTCGGTCTCCGGTAGGAACATTCCCACCAGATGATATTCTCAATGCTCCCAGTGTTCCCGACATGCCTGAGCAAGATGAGAACCACTTGGGAACAGATGAAGAAAGTTCCAAAGAGTCATCACTACAATCCTCTCTTCAAGATTCCTCTCTCACAGAGCTGGAAGGGAAGATGGCTGGTACTGGGATTGGGACAGGTATGCCTTGATGGGTCCACTTTATTAAGCTTTAAAAGTTGGTTTTCACCGAATGGTGGTCTCATAAGACTCATAAGACCAGATAAAAGGGCTTTTATGCATCAATTTATTTTTTTAAAGATGAGACACTACACACTACATGTAAGGTAAGGCAAGGCAAGTTTATTTGTATAGCACGATTCAACAACAAGGTGATTCAAAGTGCTTTACAGAGACATTAGAAACAAAAAACATTTTTGGCCTATTTTACTTCAATAACATTTCTTCTGTCAGACTACTGGAAAGAAACCACCGAAAATGTGTTTTTCTACTTAACATTTATACAAAGCTGTTCGTGTTTAATCCAAGACTTACATCATTTGCACATTTTAATCCAATAGTCTAAAAACTTTTAAAACAAAAGCACCGTTTTTAAAATATTGTCTCTTTTTCAATAACTGACTGAGGAAGTGTCATTAGGTTACATTTTAATAATTGTTTTAATATTGTAAAATTTTACATTACATGCATATACTTACACACACCAAAAAGTTCTAGTTTGATTCCCTTCTATAGTTTGACAGAGGGATTTGTTTATATACCATCCAGAGCCTGATTTGTAGAAAAATGGAAAAAGAAAATATCTTTGTGTAAAAAATTTACTTGGACAGTTTGATGGAAACATGTCAAAGTTAAGTAGTTATTTTCCCTTGGTTGTCCACACGCCTCCTGCAGTCCCTCTATTCTCCACCAGTGGTCCCTGTCCTACAGAATCGCCGGTTCAGGGTAGGGGTAGTTGTACATTCATTCAATGATGAAATACAAAAATATACCATAAATCTTGTACTGGAGTTTTCTAATCGTTTCTAATTAAAAACATCCCAACACAAATGTTGTATTTTCTAACACATATTAGCTAATAGTTTGCTTTTAGTCTTGTTTCACTGCAGACATTGTTTCTTGTGATTTTTTTATGTGCCTGTGTTGGTGATAATCGTCTAGCAGAGCTTCTACATTTGATTAGGACTCATACCTGCTAATTTTGATACATACCCTCCTGATTCTGCTGTGTTTTGATATAGGCCCATTGCTCTAAAATGAGCCCAAATCAAAACACAGAATGGTTCACACTGTTTTTAACAGTGAAGATGACATTTATCATCATTATTTCATTATCACCTAATTTTCTCTGTAGCCAAATCAGATTTACATATGCGTTTGCACAAAGCCAGCTGATATACACCTATCAGCTGCTTTATTAGGTATACCTACATGTAGTAGTGCCCTTTGCCTTCAGCGCTGCCTAATTTAACAAGGTGCTGAAAACATTCCTCAGAGATTTTGGTCCTTGTTTATATTATAGCATCACAGATTTGCTGCAGATTTGTAAGCTACACATGCATGATGTGAATCTCCCATTACACCATGTCCCAAAGGTGATCTGTAGCTTACAGTGGAAACCAATTTGAGTATAGTGAACTCATTTTCATGTTCAAGAAACCAGTTTGTGATGTTGTGTGTTATCCTGCCTGAAGAAGCCTTTTAGAAGATGGATACACTGTGGTCATAAGAAACAAGCAGTACTCAGGCAGGCTGTGGCATTTAAACAATGTTTAGTTAGTGACTATCCTGTACATCATTAAACCACCAACATCCAGAAACATTAATTCAAGGAAGGACTCATACATTTATGTTCCATCCATCCTTCCATTGCCTATCCTTATCAGGGTTGCAGGGGGGCTGGAGCCAGGGTACATCCTGGACAGATCATACAGTGGTGCAGTGGTTAGCACTGTTCCCTCACAGCAAGAAGGTCCTGTTGTTTATCCCAGATTCTGCCCTTGCCACCGGAATTTTGCATGAGAAATGGAAACTCATTAGACTAGACAACATTTTTCCCATGTTCAATTTTGGACCTTGATCAGTCCTTGCAAATTGTAGCTTGACATCAACAAGACATTTTCATCCATGAAACTGCTGTTCACTGGGTATTTTCTCTTTTTTGGTCTATTCTCTGTAAACTGTAGAGATGGTTATGTGATTAAATCCCAGCAGATCAGCAGTTTTTGAAATACTCAGACCAGCCCACCTTGTGCCAACAACTAGGCCATGCTCAGAGTCGCTTAAAAATCACATTTCTTCACCATTGTGATGCTGAGTTTGATCTTCAGCAGGTTGTCTTGAACATTTCTGCCTGAACTCAATGAGTTGGTGATTGGCTGATTAGCTGTTTGGTCATTAAAATTTATATCATCTAAGGTGCATGAGAAAGTGGCTGGTTAGCATTTCTACTTTATATGTTTTACCATGATTTGTGTGCCTTGCTTAGATGAACCAGCAGCCAGTGAAAAGACTGTACTGCACATCGAAGAGGAAACAGATGACGACTTGTTGGCCAGCACACCTACAACACACACCACCGAAGACCTCTTCACTATTATACACAGGTTTGAGCACGCACACAGACACAACCAAGGCATATTTTAAACACCAAGATCGGTACAAACTCTGATATTAGAGCACATAGTTTCCTCAGATGGCAGTTAAAGGTTAAGAAGTGCTTCACAGTTTAGTCTGTTTTGACAGGACAGCACAAATGCTTTGAGCCATCACCAAACCTGCCTGGCAGCTTTTTATAACCTGGAGCATGTGACAAAATACGCATTGTCTTGTTGAAAAGGTGTGAGACAGATGGAGTATAAGGTTCCCTAGCAACAGTTACATGTAAAGTGGGTTTGCTGCACGACCGCTGGCTCTCATTTCGTCCTTTTTTTTCCTTCCAGCGTCCCTCTCTCTCTCACACATGCACGTACGTGGATATGAGTACACACAGAAACTGACAAGAAATCTAGTCACTAAGCAACAAGTGTTCGTGATTTTTACCTTGCGTGATGCTGAAAATAGCTTAAAAGGCTCTGAAGAATAAGTGAGGATGGGGAAATGGAAGATCGGTAATCAGCGTTTTCATCTCCTACAAGAAAGAATGGAGTCCCTTCTGTAGTTACAAATTTTAGTTTTTCTATTCTCGAGAAACAAATGTCAACTAAAGTGTGACTCATCACACACGAGTAGTAAATCTGATGAAGTGAAACAGCTGCACACACAGTTTTGGCTGATAATCTTCTCTCTCTCCTCCAGGTCCAAACGAAAGGTCCTGGGTCGCAAAGAACCTTCCGACTCGTTTGGCAGTCGCCAGAGTTTGGTGTCACCAGTGAAGCACAGCACCAGCGGTAGCGACCTCAGAAATCTAACCTTGGGCAGCAGCCAGAGGTCGAGCTCCCGCAACGAGAACTTCATGGCCCTCCTTCAGAAGAAAGGCAACAAGTCTTCCAGCGGAGGAACCAGAGTCTCTGCCATGGAGCTTCTAAAAAGCACAAACCCCCTGGCCCGACGTGTCACGGAGTTTTCAGCCAACACGGCATCGAATGCCGAGGGAGGAGAGACAACGGCTGGGAACGACAAACCCAGCGATCAGTGAATGGAAGCGTCTACGCAGATGTAAACCAGGTCTGTTTGCTGTCGACAAAGCTACCAACCATTTCCATGGCCTGCCACCCTATGGGGGACGGGGCCATCTGACGAACATGTCCAACCAGATCGCTCCAACTACTGGTTGACCATTTGCACTGTCCAATCAAATTGGAGCACACTTTTGGACAAAATGGTCCCTCCCACGGTTGGAGCACTGTTGGTCCGAGTCAAACCAGCCCCTCTAGGAAAGCAAGACATCAACGGAGAGAAAAGTAGGTTCTCACAATATATTTAATGGAAGGTGGAGGTTTTGAGGTCATGCTTCTAAACTGCACTGCACTATCTTTTCCTCATTGGGAATTTGTTCAGTGTGGAGGCTAGTTGGGTGGAGCAGACACTGGGAATGTAAAGATACACAGCAGGCATCTTTACTCCTGGGCTTCTTCCAGGTGAATACAACAAAAAAACCCTGATGACTACGGGGGAGCGTATCTGAACCTGTGACCATATTAATCCCCCCTAAAGAGGAATCTCCATCAATTCACAAAACAAATGGAATAAAAACACTGAAAATACAAGACTTTAACACAATTTACCCTCGATTCTACCAAACCCCTTGAGCTAGCAGCATTACAGGTCCATCACCTGTGGACCACTGACAAAGGAAATATTCCCAAACCTTGGACCTTGTGGTTCCGTCTTCTCTCCACGGTGAATGCGACACCACAGCAGCCCTCTCAGCTCCAGACAGACAGGATTACATAAAAGAGCCGGATTTACAAACAGAAACCACAAGGCGGGGGCACGCTTTTTGCCACCAAAGATGAGGCATGAGCATACCACACGTGTTATCGCTCGTGCTGTGAACACAAACACGGACCTTCACAAAACATTCCACAAAGGCGCTCGGCAAACGGACCACATTTTTGGAACATAAGCACTTTTTTCCCCCTTACTGGTGTCGCAGGTCGTTTACACGGCGCAAACACTGCGCCGCTACCTTTTTCCTCATCTGTTACTATCTTTTCACTCTTTCTTTGGTTTCTTTTTTTTTTTTTTTTTGCATATATTTTTTTCTTAAACATACCCAGTGGCCATATACTGTACATGTTAAACTGGATCATACTGTAATGTATCATGTACAAAGATAAATGTAACGCATCTATCAACAACTATCATCTGCAGAAACAAAGACTATAAATAGTGTACAAAGCAGCAAGAAGATTGGACTACAAACTGCCCACGCAGTGAGGGGAATACACACACTCAAACACACACACACGCAAAGACTGGCAAGCAAAATGTTACTGAAGACAAACAAACAAAACATGGAGAAAAAAAAGAAGACCAATCTACACACAAGTGTGTGTGTGTTCATACAAAGAGTGTGCGGAGGATATCATGCCTGTGGAGTTTCTGTACGGAGAGCATGAAGCAGGCCTGCTTATTAAACAGGGTTTTTATTCATTTTGGTCTCTGGTGTTGGGACCAAAGGACTGTTAAACACTACAAACAGACCAGAGGGGACCTAAAGGTGCGTGTGTGTGTGTTTGTGTGTGTGTGCAAAAGAGGAAAGTGCCAAGAACAAAGCAAGGGGAGGGAAAAGACAGACGGGGCGAGTGCATGTATGTGTGCATTTGCGTCTGTGTGGTGTGTGTGTGTTGTGTGTGTGTGTGGGTGTGGTGTGTGTGTGTGTGTGTGTGTGTGTGTGTGTGTGTGTGTGTCGTGTGTGTGTGTGTGAATGATCACGTCCGTGACCTCAACATTGTTACATTAAGATTCCAGAACAAAGAGGGTTTCAGAAATCAGTGGATGGATATAAGAACGTAAACATTCCAGAACGTCTGTACAAGTTTGGAATTCTTGGATGCCCAGGTTTTAGCCTGAGAACCGGGAGGATGGATGAGAATCAAATTCCCCTCTGTGTGTCCGTCCGTGGTGATGTGGAGTGACGTGGCGTGAAAGACTTTCCTTTTTTTTTCACCCTCCTCCACCTCCTCCTCCGCCGTCTCTTTGGTCACAGAGAGGAGGTGACGTCTGCGCCACCTTCCTCCTCCTCTTCCTCCTCACCGCTCACTGTTCTCCTCCTTTTTTCATCACTGCTGGAGCACACACTCCATCTGTCTCTCTTTTTCTCTGCTCTAACCTTTTTTCTGGCACATAGCACACACTCTCTCTTTTTCTTCCCCTACATGTTCATCCTCTCTCATTCGCAGTAGCAGCGCCTCTCTTTCACCTTTCTCTCGCCCTCCCTCCATCTTTCACTGCCCTTCTTCCCTTCTCTTTTAACCTTCTCTCCATCCTCTCCCGTCGCCGCCTTCCCGCCTCTCTGCCTCTCCCATCTCTTTTCTCTCTCTCCCTCCTCCGCCTCTCCACCTCTCTCTGCATTCAGTCTATGCATCTGAGCTCAGCAGAAGACGCGACACCGGATGAATGTCAATGAATGACTGTTAAAGAAAATAGATGCTGTTCTTAGTTTGAGCGTGCAAAAAGCATTTTCTATCAGCGCTTATCTTCTGCCTTCTTTCTCTCGAGTTTTTATCATTTGTTTTCGCTCCCTTTAGTATCCATGAAATATGGAATTGCCATGGATGAATGAACAAATGAATGAATGGTTGGGATCTGTGTACTGACACGGAAACAGGAAAAGTTTGAGTGTGGTTTTTTTTTCTGGGGTTTTTTTTTTTTCATTAAGGACCTTGAGTTTTGGGACCGGACAAAATGCCCTGCGGTCTTTGATCCATGGACCCGCCGATCAGTTTGTCCATGCCTGTGTGGACAGCCTAGATGACTCTGATCAGCGGTGGTTCAGCTCTGACACTTGACTAACCTGCTGCATGGATGGACTGCGAAAAATGGAGGAGGGGAACCTTTCATCTCCTGACTCCCAGTTGGCAAACTTATTTCTCGGTGCTATTGAGTCAGAGCTCCCCCTGGTGGATGGAAAAAGAGGAACCACAGAGAAAAAAACTTCAGCTACATCTCTCTTCCCTACAGCAGTCCTTCAGGTATTCCATCATCCTGAGAAAAAAAAGCATAAATTATCACCATTTATGATGACTAGTCAAGTGACGCTTGTTTTAAATATTTAGTGAATGAAAAAAGATAAACCTATAAAACTCTGTGTTTGTTTGCCTTGTATACTGAATTATAGGCGTGTTGCTGCAGCGCCTACTGTGTTTTTTCTTCTTTTTTTTTTACATTTTCTTTTGATTTTATTTCTTATTTCAGCTGCCTTGGTCGTACATACACACCCCAATGTAACTTTTTTTTGGTAAATCTTGCCAAAATTGCACTATAGTGCATGTGTAAAAGGGAGCATTTCCATGTAATCTGGCAAACAATTGCCCAAATCTGCATTCACATACAGGCAGAGTGTGGTCATGAAGACTCATTTGCCTCAGAGCAGATAAGTCGCAGACATAGGATAAGTGAAGTGGGTTGTTAAGAAGAAGCGAGGGCCAATAGATGGATAAAAACGAACAAAAAAAAACCTGCGAAGATTGTTTCTGTGCTAAACCCAGCGGGACGGGAGCCGAAGATACAAGTACAGAGTTAGGAGCAAAAGGATGTGTTGTTCCAGCACTGTAACATGTGGTGTGAAGAGAGACGTACTTTCATCTAAAAAAGCGCCAGGCTGTCGAACAGGGTGTTCACTTACGGTGTGTGTTGAGGATCAAAAAAAGTGTGTTTTTGACTTTTTATGTAGGCAGACAGCAGATTCTCTTTAATCGGGGAGGAACGAGAGATAAAAACAAGCAGGAACACATGGGCACACTGGTTAAAAAAAGTGTTATCCCTTATGTGAGGATCTAGCCATTTAATATTAAGAAGAACCTGATTTTTTGCAGGTTTTGTAAATGTTTCTTGGAAACAGGAGTTCCTTTAGAAGCTGAAATAATCTTGTTAATTCAGTTAATCTTCAAAGTGTGGGACTAAAAGGTCCTGCTGGGACAGAACAGCCAACTTTTCATTGATTCTGAAAAGCTAATAAGGGTGCAATATATTAGTTGTCTGTTCAAGATGATGGTGGTGATTCTGCCTACACAGCAGCTACGCCTCGAAGAAACCGCTACAAGCTTCATTCTCTAAAACATATTGGCAACATACTGTTTTGAAAATGACATTTTTTATGAAGTGTGAAAGACAGATGACAGGAGGAATATATGGAATATCTAAAGCATTATCCCTCCTTCAGGAGGAGAATAAGGAAGATAGGAAGGAGGAAAAATGAGTGTGCAGAGCTGAGGTTAGACTCTGCTGAATGTGGGGATTACCACGCTGAAATTCATAATGCAGTCCATCATCTTTCCTTTCACCTCCTCTCTCTCTCTCTTCCTTAGCTGTCCCGTGACTCAGAGAAGCAATCACACTAAAAGCTTTTTCTTCTCTCGACCTCTGTTTTTTTTTTTTTTGCCTCCCTGCGTGTTGATAAAAAGGTACGAGAAAGCAACAAAGGAAGGAGGAAGGCGCTGCAATAGCTCGCTAATTAATTTGGTGTAATTTTTACATTTCATGCCTCTGCAGATATCGAGCAGCCAAACAGGAACCAGTTGCTAGGAAACGTAAATAAAAAGCAGCGCCGAAAATTTGGAAGTTAAGTTGAGAGAGCGGGAGTTCAGGCAAGGATAATTTCCTCATAGGCAAAAGGAAAGATCACACTTTATCCAAATAAGCTACAAAATAAAATTTGATGACATTCATTTGTTAAGTACTTTATGAGTACAGCTGCTACCAGTGAGAGCCAGTGCAAGACCAGAATAAACAAATAACACAATCCTCACCAGCACAAAGTTGACCGCAGCTCATCTGCAGGACTAAGAAATGTAATTTGTATAATAATTATAAGAAAACCAAAACCCATTTCTGTCATTGCTGTTTCTCCCCCTCCTCCGTTTAATGCTTTAATCCCATCTCCTATCAAGTAAAATCCAGCACTGAAAAATGAAGCCAAGCAGAAGTGATAAAAACTGCAGTTCCTCTAACGGCCACTTGAGGCTTGATGTTAGTTCAACACGTTTCGTAACTGCAATGATAGTATTTTACTTGTCTATTATTATATTATTATATTTGCACTATTTATCAAATATATAAATTGCCCTCTAGTTAACAATTACAGCTTAACCAGGCTAGCTAGCTGATATTTTAGCTGATAATGATCAAATGCTAGCTTAAAGCCTTCAAAATCCAACGGGTGATGTTACATCAGCTACATCCATTTTTTATTCGTTGTCTGGGAAACCATCGGATATCTGCCACATAAACCAGACAATTAAAAATGTAAAATATATCCTAATAAACTCTCTGGCGTACTGAGATGACTGCCGATAATATGTGGATAGTCATTGTGAGACCTCTTGACTGAAAATGAGTGACTGAGCTCATAAACTCAGTGTGTTTACAGAGCTGAAGACTGAGCCGTTTCCCCATAGATTTCTATAGGACCAATAGTTTTTTTTTGTAACAATCGCAGCTATCGCCCTCTGGTGGCCTTCAGATATAATGCAGGATTAAGGCACTTCTGCATCACCTTCATTTTTCTGACATTAATGTCCATGTTTTGTAAAGAGTTTGAGTCACATCATTTAGATACCTAGTCAATAGTCAGTGTGGTTGCTAGCCTTCAAAGTAAACATCTGGAAATGGATCAAAAGTATTGCTTAGCAGAGAGGTCAAGGTCTTAAAGATACAATCAGAGCTCAGCTGTACATACAGAGACATCTTTTTAAGAAAAAATCAACAGCAGTGTGAGTTTACAATCCCAATATTGTCAACAAATTAATAAATAAATGCTTTATAGTTTACAGTGGGTAGAAATAAAATCACTTTGCTGCTACCTCTTTGAGATATATATTAAGCTACTTCAGTAAATCACATTATCACATAAAAATATCAGGACTTTGTTCTATTTTTGAACAGTCTCGGCTTTATGAGCAAGCGATTGAGAGTAACAATAAGAAATAGAGAGATGCTGTGGCTGCAGATTTGGGCCAAAAGACTTTGTTGTGTTTGCTTCAGGAGTGACAGATGGGTGAAGTTTACTGTGTTTTAGTACTTGGAGTGGACAAACAGCCCATAAAGTCCATCACTGATAAACTCCATCCGCTTTACTCCCCAAGCAAAGTGAGATAAACAACCCCCTCAAACCCAATTTAAACCCCAGTACTGGGGGCTGTACAGGCAGCTTATAAAGACACAGAGATGATAATTAGAGAGACCTAGAGAAAGAGAGACAGACAGAGATATTGGAATTATTCTATTTTTGTTATTCCTCGTTGAAAAATACATATTTAAAGGAATATTCCATGTATGTATTGAATAACCCCTGTTTTCTTGCCCCATCCAATGGTGTAATCTGTTGCTGCGAGGTGGCGTCTCACACAAACGCTTCCTTCTGCAGCTCTGCAATGCCAATGTGATGAAATTATTATTATATCATTATAAATAAATTATTTTTCTTGCTTAAAAAAAAACTGTGTTGTTTGTATGCTTTCCCTCCTGCTGTAGTAGCTTTCAAGGTTACACTCTCATATCTCTGAGCTGTGTCTGCTGGAGCACCAGCTCTTCTGTTAATTGGTTGTTTCTGTCTACACAGTGAAGCACCGCATGGGAAATAGAGCCTTCTGATCCAAAGT